GGAACCAAAACACTGGTGCGGGCATTCGGCACGGGCGCCAAGAATAGAGCCCTAAAGGCATAGCAGAGCAACCCCCGCGACGAGAACGACGGGACGCGACGTCCTGAAACGCAGAGGCACGCGAGGGAACAATTTTTTATCAGACCCTCCTCAACCCACTCACAGAAACACACCGAGACAACAGGAGCAAAAAAGGCATAAGCATGATTTCGCAGAGGTCCGTGCTGATTTACTGGATCGGCGACCTCCTCGCTGGCGCTCGGAGCGCGCCTGGGGCGGCGCTGGAGGCGCCGCCAGGGGGGCCCAACGCCAATCCAAGAAATCCGCGCGGACCTCCAAGAAATTATGGTTATGCCTATGTTGGTTCTTCGAGGGAGAGAAGGCGGGAGGGGGGAGCGAGGGAGGGAGGGAGGGAGGGAGGACGAAGAGGCCGAGGAGGTCGTGAAGAGGGAAGGGAAAACCCCCTTTCGCGCAGACGGTAGGACGGCACGGCGGCTGCACAACTCCGCTGCGAGCCCACCGACCCAATCATCAGCTCAATCCTCCTCCTCCTCCTCCTCCTCCTCCTCCTCCTCCTCCTCCTCCTCCTTTCGAACGTTTCGAGCGCGGCCCAGTGGTCTCCGCAAGACCGTGGCCGAGGTCCTCCTCCTCCTCCTCCTCCTCCTCCTCCTCCTCCTCCTCGTCCTCTCATCCTCCCCTCCTCCTCCTCCTCTCCTCCTTCCTCCTCCTCTTCCTCCTCCTCCTCCTCTCCTCCTCTCATCACCCATCCCTCCTCCATTCCTCCTCCTCCTCCTCTCCTCCTCCTCCTCTCTCCTCCTCTCATTCTCCTCCACCCCTCCTCTGCTGTCACCAACCCTTCCTCCTCCTTCCCCACTCCTCTCCTTCTTCCTCGTCTCCTCCTCCTCCTCCTCCTCCATCCTTCTCTCTCCCTCTCCCTCCACCTGCATCCTCCTCTTTCATCTTCCCCCTACCTCTCCCATCCCTCCTCTCCTCTCCCCCTCCCTCCACCCTCCATCCTCCATCCTTACTCCTTCTTCTCCTCCTCCTCCTCCTCTTCCTCCTCCTCCTCCTCCTCCTCCTCCTCCTCCTCCTCCTCCTCCTCCTCCTCCTACCCCTTCTCCTCCTCCTTCTCATCAACCTTCTCTTTCTCATTATCATGGTCTCTCCTCCTTCGTTCATTTTCCTTCTCGAAGTCTCCTCCCTGTCGCATCCCGAGACAGGTCGAAGGGCGGGCCGGGCCAGGCGCTTCGCCTGAGACTTCCTCACCATGTATGACCCTGGTGCTGAAACATTGACAACCGGTTCACACTTGGACGGCGGGCTGTCTTCAAAATGTGCCTCTGACCTCAGCGCCGCGCTAAACATTGACAACACTTTCACGAATTGAGGGCAGGTGATTTTCAACATGTGAATCTCGCCTTAACGCCGCGCACGTTCGTTTCAAACATTGGCATCAGCTTCACGCATTGAGGGTGGGTAATTCTCAAAATGTGGTTCTCGCCTCAGCGCAACGCACACTCTTTTTAATGTTTGAAAGAGTTTCACGGGTTGAGGGCGGCTCGTTTTCAAAATGTGGCTCTCGCCTCAGCGCCGCGCACATTCGTTTGCAAGAGTTTCACGGATTGAGGGCGTGTCATTCTCAAAATGTGGCTCTCGTTTTAGCACCGCGCACGTGTGTTTAAAGATTCCAGAGTTTCACGGATTGAGGGCGGTTCCTTTCCAAACTGTGGCACTCGCCTAAGCGCCGCGCGCATGCGTTTTGACAAAAAGATGCGAGGAGCTGCACGGATTCCCATGGTAAACGTACCAGAGATGGTGTTTTGGAACGGTTCAGGATCGTCAGGGCGCAACAGTTACGTTGACTCGAGGTGCTGAAGTCCCAAGAACGATGTTCTGGCACGCTTCAATGTGTTTACACGGCTGTCCCCGAACGGGGCAATTTCCCCGGCGGGCATGACCCCCCTTTTCAGGGATCTTGTAGGGAGGGTACAATTCAAAATCGTTGACGCCTGTGGGGTTTACACTGGTCTCTCCTCCGCCTCCTCCTCCTCCTCCTCCTCGTCCTCCTCCCCCTCCTCCTCCACCTCCTCCTCCTCCTCCTCCTCCACCTCCTCCTCCTCCTCCTGCTCCTCCTCCCTCCTGCTTCCTCCTTCCTCCCTCCTCCCCCCTCTCCTCCTCCCCTGTTCTAATAAATGACTCCTCATTGCCGCACCTCCAGACGTGTCAGTAGGGCGGGATGGGCGTTTCGTCCGAGGCTTCCTCACCATTTCTGATCCTGAAGCTCGAATTCTGCAACGGCTTCAAGGAAGGGGGGCGGCCCGGTTCCAAAATGTTGCCTGTCGACTTCGCGCCGCGCGCATTCTTCTTTTGAAGGCTTGCAGCAGCTTTAAGGATGGAGGGCGGGCCGTTTTCAAAACGTGGCTCTCGCCGTAGCGCCGGGCACATTCGTCTTACAGTCTGCAGCAGCTTCAGGATGGGGGGGGCGGTTCCTCTATGTGGCTCTCGCCTTGGCGCTGCGAGAAGTCTTTCGTCTGGAATGTGTGCAGCGGTCTCGAAGATCCGAATGTGACTACATACGGGACCACCCCAGACCAACCCGAAGACTCGAATTTCGGGTTGGGGGGATATGGGCCTCATATGTGTTTTTGTTCCATGTTCCCCGACCCGCCACCACCACCACCACTGGGAATGGACGCTAAATTGGAGCCGTCGGGTTGGGTTGGGGTGGTTTGGTGGCTGGTGGGAACCGTTGAAGTTCCAGGAATTGCGTTCTCGCACGCGAAGGACTGTCAGGACGCAGAAGTCACGTTCATTCGCGGTGCTATGGCTCGGTTTAGGACTGTCAGGACGGAACAATCACGCTGATTCGCTGCCTTGGAGTCACAGAAATTCTATTCTGGCACGATTGAAAATTCTCATACAGACGCCTTCCAATGGGGCACGTCCCCAGTGATAGTAAATTGTTGCAGGAACCTGTGAAGAATCTGGAGGGAGGGTTTATTGCAACATCGTTGATGCGTCCTGGGTTTACACTAGTCCTCCTCCTCATCATCATCATCCCTCATCCTCCTCCTCCTTCTCCTCCTCGTCCTCCTCCTCCTCCCTCCTCGCCTCTTTCTCCTCCAGCTCTTCCCACTCCTCCCTCCCCTCCTCCTCCTCCTCCTCCTCCTCCTCCTCCTCCTCCTCCTCGTCCTCGTCCTCGTGCTCGTCGTCGACGCGATCTCCTCCCCCCCTCCACCGCGCTGGAAGTCGCGGCGCCAGGAGCCCAGAGGTCCCTCGAGGCTCCCTTGTCCCCCTGCAGCTCTCAAGGCGACGCCCTTCCCGCTCCAGGGGTCCTCTGGAGGCCGGCGCAACCAGGACTTGTTTCAAGGGGCCCTGGGACGCACAAATAGATAGACACAACTAGCAGGATTCCCTATATTTCCCCATATTTCCTTGGTTTTCGTCTCCCCCCCCACTTCCCATATTTTGCCATCTGTTGCTGGGAGTCGACGATTAATTGTGTCTGTGTGTTTTTTCTCATCCTGATTGTTGGGGGGCGGCTGATCGGATCGGCGAGGTAGCAAACGGTGCCCCAACCCTGCCCTCTCGACTCCCTGCGCCGCCCGAGCGTCCACATCCACATCCATCGGCTGCACGCAACGAGTGGCACAAGGCAACGAATGACCTTTCGTGTGCGGATTCAGAGGGCGCGAGGCGGACAAACCCAAGCGCGCAAGCAGCCATCATCGCATCGCGCTCCGTGATCGGGGGGGCACCGGTGAGCTCGCGCCAAAGGTCACTCCGACAAAGGGTCACTCTTACGTGTAGTCGAATCCACTGCCGCGGGGTCATGTCCCCCTGGCTCGGGGAGCGGTGATGTGTATCAGCGCGCACATTGCTGAAATCGGCCTAAATTGCGCCGAAGCTCCGTGAGCCACCACGTAAGCCCAAACGACAAGGAGCGCGTGAGGAGTGATCGAGGGGAGCAGAGGGCGGAGGACGCAAGAAAGCACCAGCAACTCAGCAAGATACGAAGTTCGCCAAATAGTATCGTCTACCCGCAGGCTCGGGGAGCAGTGAATCTGTGAACGACGGCAACAGGAAAAAGCTGGTCCTATGCGAGATGGTAAGCGACCTTACACGGCGGCCTGCGCTGGCCACCAGCGCGGCACGCTACGTTGGAAACATGAGCGCTGACGCGCGACCTTACGCGGGCAGCTGCCGCGCCAACGTCGAACCCTTATCTCTTGCGCGGCGCATGCGGAGATCTGCCCGCCTGCGCGGGCGGGCAGATGTCCACGTCGACAACTCTGAAGGGGCCCCAGGACACACAAACAAATACACACGAATAACATGTGTTCCCATATTTCCCCATATTTTCAGGGTTTCTGTCTTCCGCCCCACTTCCCATCTTTCCCCATATTTTCTGGGGAATCGAAGATGAACTGTGTCTGTGTGTTTCTTTTCCTCCTGAAGCTCTCCGAGATCACGGGGCCCGACTCCGCAGCGGCGCACATGGACACGCTCCGGCGGCGGCCATTCCCCACGCACCCCCGCTGTCGAGGGGCTCGACGCGCAGAACGCCCTCCGAGGCCTCGGTCCCTCCCCGGCGGACCAGCTCCTCTTCCTGAGTACGCTCGTGCGGACGGCCCCCCTCGGCCCGGTGGGGGAGCCCAAATCTGCCAAGGACCCCGCGCCGTGCTTCTGCCAGGCACGGCGCCAGGGGGTCTGGGCCGCAGCTCGGGTCAGACCCGGGGGCGGGAGCGGAGAGGGGAGTTGGCGAATCCACTCGCACAGCCGACTCTCTTGGCGCCTCCTGGCGCCAGGGGCGCCCGCGGATTGGCCCGTGCGCCGAGGGCACCGCCCCGCGGCGGGGCAGGAGCCAGCCGCGCGCAGCTGGGCTCGTGCCCCTCCCCTTCCCCCTTCCCCCTTCCCCCTTCCCCCCCCCCCCTCCTCCTCGTCCAGCCCGAAAAGCCCTCCCCCCTCCCCCCCTCCCGCCGTCCCACCCGCTTTGGCTGCCCTGGCGCACCGCGCGCCCTGGGGAGCCAGCCCTGTTCGTGGGCCGCCACGGCTCCTTGGCCTGGTTGCCCATTTGCGGCAGCTGCGAGGGCTGCTCCGCCTCCGCCTTGTGATTGTCCTGGCAGGCGCGCACCGAGCCAGTCGAACCGCTGTCATTAGGAACCCTAAGAAGGCACGAGGTCCCTGTCTTCACTAAGCCCGATGTCGATATCCCATACGTTGTCTTTCGATGCTCCTTTTCACATGTTTTTTTTCTATGGCTGCCGGTGGCCATTAGAACATGGCTACTTGTTGTTTTGATGGCTACCAGTGGCCAGTACACGTTGTTTTGATGGCTACCAGTGGCCATTAAAAAAGTAGGTGGAGCATCATTATGGCTACTGGTCATGATAAAACATCAGTATATATGCAAAGAGTTGTTGTATGGCTACTGATGGCCGTAAACAACAAATGGAACATCACACTTTTTGATGGCTGCCAGACGGGCGGACATAAAAATTGTGGTGTAAAAGCACAAAAGAAGTTTGTTATGGCTACCAGCGGAAACAATTAACTGGATGAAATGTCACATAGTTGTTATGGTTACTGTTACTGATGGTCATTTGAACAAAACAGCATCGAACGTTGCTCTATGGCTACCGGCGCTACCGGTGCCATACAAAAATAACTAAATGGAACATCACACGTTTTTCCCCGATCAGCGATTTGGGTAGGCGGCAAGGTTCCCAAGCTCCCGGATCCAGGCTCCCAGGTTCCTGGTTCCGGGTTTCGGGCTGATTTCGGTGTCGGGGGCGGCCAAGAGGGGGGCGTCCAAGACGGGGAGGGTGCAAATCATGGCCGGCGGAATGTGTGTGCGCGGCCCAAGCGGGGGGGGCTGGGGACGCATTGAAACAAGAAGAGGCGCCATGAAATCTGTGGAAATATCATGGCTCCCGTCATGATATCCACTCCCCCCTAGTCATCCCCCCCCTCTTTGCCACCCCCGACGGTGGGCGGCGGGGTTCCTGGGTTCCCGGGTTCCTGGTCGACCTGATCGATCGGTCTCACCATCGATCTCATTACCCACCTATCTATCGATCTCACTATCGATCTCACAATCGATCTCAGTATCGATCTCACAATCGATCTCACTATAGATCGCACTAGAGATCTCACGATCGATCTCACTATCGATCTCATTGAATCGACTTCACGGTCGGTCTTGCGATCGATCTTACAATCGTTTCAAACCATACATTGATTGGTGTTTGTCCCTGGTGCAATGTACGGCTACTGATGGCGATAAGAAAACACTACAAAGAACAACAACAAAACAATCACACGTGTTGTTTAGCTACCGGTGGCCATACAATCAGGAACTAGATGGAGCGTCACACGTTTTCTATGGCTACCGGTGGCCATCAAAACATAAAATCATAACACGTATTGTATGGCGACCAGTGGCTATAAACAATACACCTGAGAAAACCCCAAACAGTGGATGATTTGAAAATTGATACTATGGATCTTGAGATCGATTGTGAGATCGATAATGAGACCGATAGTGAAATCGATAGTGAGGACGGTTGTAAGGTCGATCGTGAGACCGAGAAGTAAAATCGACGACATCGGCCCGGAACCCGGAACCCGGGAACCCGGGAACCCGGGAACCCAGCCTGCCACCAAAATCGGCGGGGAACTTTCGGGTGTGGACATAACCCCCAACAGTGACACGTCGATTAGTGAATTGTCCCTTTTCGCTTTTCGAGAGGGCGCCGTGGCCGTTATTTTCCAGGCTTGCGCCCACCAGGCTTGGGCCTCAGGTCGTTTTCACTAAACCACGTTTTGCTAAAGGGGGGTCTGTCCATCCCTGATCCTTAAACCTCCGCTAGGACCCCTTCAATGCAAGCACTGCGTGGGGAAATGTGTGATGTTCAATCTGGGTCGCGGCGGCAGGAGTCCGGCGGGCGAGGGGCGAGCAGCAGGTCGGCGGCGGCGGCGACGACGACGACGACAATAACGACGATGACGACGGCGACGACGACGACGAAGAAGACGATCGGCGGGAGTCGGGCGGGCGAGGGGCGAGCAGCAGGTCGGGGGAACAAGAGGCGGATCAGAATCCACTTCCAGAGGTCCGATTGAACTCCTGGGGCTTGCGCCAGACCTGCCTCCCAGCCGCCTCTGGCGGCGCCTCTGGCGGTGCCCCCGCGCACGCGCGAGGCGCGATAGCTTTCCGCGACGGCGCCCGCGCGTGCCTCGATAACCATCGCCTCTCGGAGCCAGGCCGCTGGGCTCGTGAGCTCGCGCGCACGCCCTTCGCAAATATCCAGAGCCAGGACATGACAGAAATCCGCCGGCCCCCTTGTGGGGCAACCAGACTGCAGGCCGAAGTGTGCTGCTCCCTGCACCAGTTCCAGTTTCAAGTCTCCAATGTTACAGTCCTGCTTTCTGCTTCCTGCGTCAAACGTCCGTCGATTTGAGCCGACCCTGAGTCGAACCTGAGTCGAGCTTGAGTCGAACCTGAATCGAACTTGGGCTGAACTTGAGTCGAACAGAACCGTCAGGCGTGCCCCAGGAAGGTCCGAAAACGAGCATCGAACGCACCTGGCCGTGGCGATACGAGGAGCCTCCGGGGAGGCCCCGAGAGAAAGAGAGAGAGAGAGATAACGAAAGAAGCCGCCGACGGGGGAAAGGGCCGCCATATGGCCTCGGCCAGGCATCGACCTGAACAGTGTTTTGCGTTTTCGTTTTGTTTTCGCCTTCCCTCGTTTTGTCTTCAGTCCATCTCTGCTGCAAAACGAGATCGAAACGAGAACGGCCCACGAGATCGCCCAAACACCGCTGAGGCCGACCCCTGGCCTCGCCTGGCCCTCCTCCGGGCTTGCTCTCCTTCGGGCGATGCTGCTCGCGCCTCACGCGCAGCCGCTCGGGACGATGCCGACGCCCCTGACTCGCCCTCGATAAGACGAGGCTTATGTTACATCCTGGGGGGACCTTGTCTGTCCCGTCGCGGCCTTATCCGCGTCGAACCCGCGTCGAATCCATGTCGGACTCGTCGAACCCACGTCGAATCCGAGTCGAGCCCACACCAAATCAGCGTCGATGCCGCATCGAACCCGCGTCGAGCACAAGAAAAGCCACCAATTTGGGGGACAGGGGAGGTCTCCCGAAGATGCATAGTAACGAGGCCAGGACGAGGATGAAGCGACTCTCTGAGATCCGTCGGCTCTGGAGGGACGTATCGGGCGCCGCGGCCTTCTCAGGGCGCTCCGGAACGCTCTGAGAGAGTTCCGGAACGCTCTGGAACGGATTGATCCTCGGCCTGGCCCTGGCCGACTTGACGAGGCGCAGCTGATGGCACCCCCGAAAATCTGAGAAACCCTCAGAAAGCCATCCAGAGAAAACCTCTGAGAGCCCAGAGAACCAGCCGAAAACCTGAGACCACCATCCGAAAGCCCCAGTCGGAGGCGCGCAAAAGCCTCCGAAAAGCATCCAGTAACCACCGCTGTCTGCGCGAAGAGGTGGGGGGGAGCCTTTTCAGACGGCCGCCCTTTTCGCCCTGGCCTGCCCCCTCGTGCGCGCCCCCAGCGTGGAGCATGCACACCCCTCCGATGTCTGGACGCTGTCGTCAGTCCTCCTCGGTCCTCCTTGATCCTCCTCCTCGATGCTCCTCCTCGATCCTCCTCGATCCGCTCGGTGCTTCTCCATAGATGGACGAGAGCCCCCTCTGTCGGCGATGAACGGGCGATTGTGGGTCGTGGGTTGATACTTCCCCCCTGGGCCTATCTCCTCCTATCAGAAACGTTAGACTCAGGTTCGGAGAACTCGGGATGGACTGGCGGGGCTTTCGGGAAAATGACGAGACCCATTTTGAAATTTGGCGCGAGCATATGCTGCAAACATCCCGCGAAAACTGCACTGTTAAGATTCAAGACGAACCCGCCAAAAAACATCGGCAAACCCGAGTTACGGCGAACTCAAGCCGTACGTTTCACCGATCCTGACGGTGCCCCTTTGAGATCACCGCGGGGGGTGCTAAGGGGATAGGGGTTAGAAGTGGATGCTGAGGTGGGCTATGTATATACATATATATATATGTACTAGAACCACGCGCGCGCTTCGCGCGCGCTTAGGTTCTGTCGAGTCACAGAGCCAGGAATCGTTGTGAGAAGAAATTGGTGACGCGAAGCGTCGTCGGGGCGTCCTTGGACGTCTGGGGTCTCCTGGGGCCTCTTGAGGGGCCTCCTGGGGGCCTCCTGGCGGCCTCTTGGGGCGGAAGGCTCGAGCTTGCGGTTCGTGGTCCCCCTCTGGGCCCCCTCTTGGGCCCGTCTTGGGGCCCTCTTGGGCCATCTTGGGCGCCTCTTGGGCCGTCTTGGGGCCCTCTTGGGCTGTCCTGGGGCCCTCTTGGAAGCTTCTTGGGCAGTCTTGGGGCGGTCTTGGGCGCCTCTTGGGCCGTCCTGTAACGTCGGAAAGCCCAAAAGACAACTTTGTTGAACATGTACGTTTTACGAAGGGAATGGGCCAACTTTTGCGTCTAGGGGCCCTCTTGGGACGCATGTTGGAGGCTTCTTGGGGCGTCTTGGGGGCGTCCTTGGACGTCTGGGGTCTCCTGGGGCCTCTTGAGGGCCTCCTGGGGGCCTCCTGGCGGCCTCTTGGGGCGGAAGGCTCGAGCTTGCGGTTCGTGGTCCCCCTCTGGGCCCCCTCTTGGGCCCGTCTTGGGGCCCTCTTGGGCCATCTTGGGCGCCTCTTGGGCCGTCTTGGGGCCCTCTTGGGCTGTCCTGGGGCCCTCTTGGAAGTTTCTTGGGCCGTCATGGGGCGGTCTTGGGCGCCTCGTGGGCCGTCCTGTAACGTCGGAAAGCCCAAAAGACAACTTTGTTGAAAATGTACGTTTTACGAAAGGAATGGGCCAACTTTTGCGTCTAGGGGCCCTCTTGGGCCGCATGTTGGAGGCTTCTTGGGGCGTCTTGGGGGCGTCCTTGGACGTCTGGGGTCTCCTGGGGCCTCTTGAGGGGCCTCCTGGGGGCCTCCTGGCGGCCTCTTGGGGCGGAAGGCTCGAGCTTGCGGTTCGTGATCCCCTTCTGGGCCCCCTTTTTGGCCCGTCTTGGGGCCCTCTTGGGCCATCTTGGGCGCCTCTTG